AAATAATATATTTAAATAATTATATAAATAAAATATTTTTAATATATAAATTATATTTTAGAATTATAATAAATAATTCATATTATAGTATAAAATTATTTTTATTAAGCGGTAGTTGTAAGACCCGAAACCTTCATTCTCCTCTTTGTTCTTTTTACTCTTTCTTTCTCTTCACACTTTTTTCCTACATTCGCTTGCTTTCATTCATTGTGTTGAAAATTATTGCATTCTTGGTGTTTCCTTTGTTGTTGAACCTATTCCTCTCATTTTGATTCACCAAGGTGCTGAGCAATAGGAGAAGTTGAGGACTTAGAGCACCAGAGTCACACGGATTCTTCTTCTCCATTCTTTTTCTTCCCCGTAGGTTTGGAGTTTGGATTTTCAAATCCCACTCAAGGTAAGGAGAGCAAGAAATCTTAGATTTTTATGATTTGTGGGGCTGTTGATTGAGTTAAGAACTCAAAATTGGTATGAATTCTGAAAATGTAAGCGGGGGAAAAGAAATTTGAAATTATTTACTTGTGAAAGTTGAAAACTTGTTCTTGATGATCTCTTTGAAATCTCGATGCATGCATGTGGTGTTTCTTGGGGTTTCTGGGTTGTATGAACAAAATGAGTAGAGATTATTGTTGGGATACAAGCAAAGTCCCACATCGTTAAAACAAGAGGATGGACATGGGTTTATATACGCACAATTGTCTTCATTGGTTGAGAGGCCTTTTGGGTGGTGTCCAAAAGCAAAACCGTGAGGGCTTAGGACAAAACGGTACAATAGATCACCAATGTGGAGATATGTGTATATGTGTGGTAACCCCCCGGTGCTTCCTAGTAACATGGAGGGTTAGGAGGCGTATCCCGCTATCATGAGGGAGGTCATGATGGAGCAGTGGTGCAAGCACTCTGAGCGTGAGTGAGCTTTGTGGGGCCACCATCGAATAATACTTGTAGTTTCCACTACAGGGGAGGGGGTAAACCGTGATCTTTTGTTTGAGGGGAGGATTGTTGGGATGCAAGCGAAGTCCCACATCGTTCAAACAAGAGGATGGACATGAGTTTATATACACATAGTTGTCTCCATTGGTTGAGAGGCCTTTTAGGTGGTGTCCAAAAGCAAAAATGTGAGGGCTTGGGCCCAAAGCAGACAATATCTCACCAATGTAGAGACATGTGTATATGTGTGGTAACCCCCCGGCATGTGTATATGTGTGGTAACCCCCCGGTGCACAAAAATTATGAAGGTAGGTCTTTTGTTTGAGGGGAGGATTGTTGGGATGCAAGCAAAGTCTCACATCGTTCAAACAAGAGGATGGACATGGGTTATACACATAGTTGTCTCCATTGGTTGAGAGGCCTTTTGGGTGGTTTCCAAAAGCAAAAACATGAGGCTTGGGCCCAAAGCGGACAATATCTCACCAATGTAGAGACATGTGTATATGTGTGGTAACCCTCCCGGTGCATAACAATTATGAAGGTAGATCATGTTTAGGGATAAAAATTGATGGATTATAGGTGAAAAACGAAGGGGGGAAGCCATGAAAGTGCAAAAAGCTCTACACTCAACAATGGAGCACTACACCAACATTGCAATTGTAAGAGAAACACAGGGAGGTCGAGATCTGGCACTATAGCTCCAGGTTGGGCGCTGCAACCCTAGGAGGAATTGATCTAACAGAGATCCTGTGCTACAGCTCCAAGTTGGGCACTGTAGCTCTAGGAGAGAACAAAGTTGGTAGAAAGTTAGAGCTAGAGCACTGAATTAAGCGCTACAAAACCAAGGTTAGATGACCAAAATTTGTCTTGGAGTCTTCATGAAAGTTGTAGCCTTGGATGTTAGCTTTCTAATGACACTAGAATAACTCAAAAAGGAGGTTTATAATTCCAGTTATGACTTTTTTAGTGAGGAAAGGTCAAGATGTCAGTATTTAGGAAAATGGTTGTGGTTTTTACAATTTTTAATATGGTAGATGAAGGAATTAGAACCTGAGTTCTTCATGAAAGTTGTAGAAAATCTTCTTGTCTTTCATATGAGATAATGATGAGAGTGATTGGTGTGACACCCTCTACCCCGCATACCATAACACATAATAATAAAATTTGAATAACATAACATTTCATAATTAAAATATCAAACGTGTTTAGATAGAGAGTATCACATCCATAACTTAACAAAATCAGCAGAAATTACAAAGAAATAAAACTAAAGTTTCAAAAATAATTTAATAAGTGAAACATCCTAAACTAATCCTATCTACGCCCCGATGTCACATGTCCTATCAGAGCAAAGCCCAACTTTGAAGTCTAAGCTTCATCACCTACATCCTCAGCCTCATGCTGATAATCACCTGTATAACGGTCAAAGGAAAACAACAAAAAGAAAAAAGAGTGAGAAACATTTCACTCTGGCTCACAGTGTAGAAATACACACCGGATAGCCAAATACAAACAAGACAGATATAACATAGATATATTAACAACAATATTACATCTCACTCATCCAAGGCATAAAAATATCAATTTATCATATAACATTAAAAATGCACATGTATGGACACAGACTACATATTATCATGCATGTGGCGCCAGTAAAACATCACATGGCATATTGCCGCTAGCAATACACGAAGAGTAGTCTAGGAGTACATGCCGGGTCACACCCTCTGCACACTTTCACTAGAAGAACATACTACCAAAGTCTCATCGGGATAGCTAAGCTGTGCAAGATACATCCCATGCACACAATGGGCGAGACTGGGACTTACAAACCAAGCTATCCCCAAGGACTAATCCCCAAAGCTCTTACACTAGGAGGCCTTCTCTGGTGGTGTATTCCATATCGTACCCTTAAAAAAACATTTATGCACATGATGCATGTCAATCAAGACTCCATGTTTTTCTCATATCACATTTTCATGTCTCATTGTCATATCACATTAGCATATCTCATTGTCATATCACATTATCATATCATATTCACAATTTTCGCAGAGCACTTTAATTCATATTAAAACTCATCTATTTGCAAAATTAAACACATATTTATACATCTCATTCAACAAGGAATACATCAGAACAATCAGAAAGCAAAACAGAAAACATTCATATTTTGCCTATTTCTCATAGGGTTCCCATAGGAACCCACAAAGCACTCCAATTCATACAATTAAAACAATACAATTAACTCATACAATTATCTCTTCAAACCATCTCCTCTTACAATCACCAATGCATTCTCTTAGGGTTTCCCATAGGAACCCATAGAGATCTCAGATCATACAATTAATTACATATAAGAAAAATAATAGGCAAAACAGATACAATTGGGGAAAAATTCCTCATACATGAGCATACAAAAAATACAACAAACATAGGATTTGGGGCCAATCCCACTACCCAACATATATTCTCACATCCAAAGCGAGGTTTCTCACTCTCCCCTTACCTCGATAAGCAGAAGCTAAAACTGAAGCAGGATCTTCCTGGTCTCTTCCTCGGGGTTCTCCTTGGTCTTCAGAGAATGTAAAAGAAAAGAAGTCAGAAATGAAAAATGTGCTTTTGGGAGTGCTAGAGCGGTCTATTTATAGATGTCACGTGTGGCCAGAATGACCCATTTCAAATCCGGAACGGCTCGTTCTGGACCCATTCGAAATGTGTAAAAGTCACATCCGGAACGATTCGTTCCTAAACCAGAATGGCCCGTTCTGGGGTTGAGTTTAACCCATAACGTCCATGTTTGGAACGACCCATTCTTAAACCAGAACGGCTCGTTCCCAACTAGGGTTATACATTTTTGTAGTTTGGAACGACTCGTTCTAGTTTCGGAAGGGTCCGTTCTAGGCTACTAAAATTCAAAATATTAAAAATAATTTTTGTAAATATTTATTATTAAAAACTTCTAAAATATTCTATAAAACTCATTTAATTAATTAAAATAATTATAAGAAAATTATCTTGATAAATATAACAATAAATAATAATTAACCATTGTATTAATAGAAAATTCGGGATGTTACAATTGGAGTAGTAGAACTCCATATGGGTTATTTTATGTGAAGATTGTCAGTGCAAGAATAAGTGATTTTGATAAATTGCATGTGATACATGTTGTATGATGGGTGAAATTGGTGAACATGAATAGAATGCTTGTGTCTATTGTATGTTGTGTGTTATAGGATGATGATAATGAGCATTGATATGCTATCTTTGTGTACTTCAAATGATAATATGCATTATAATGTTATCCTTGTGTACTTGAAATGGTGATGAGCATTGGTATGCTTTATATGATTGATATGCTATGTTTGAATTAATTGTGGGGCATTGATATGTTATTATTGTATGAATTGTTAAGTCTTGGTATGTTGTTCTTGGTTGAGATGTTAAGCGTTGATATGTTGTACATGATTGATGTTATTGATCTCTATATGTATTGACTGGATGTAATGTATATAGTAGATGTATGGTGAGGTGTGGATGCTGAGAATGGGGTGTGGCATTATAGCATGATGGCTAACTTAGGACTTCTTTGGGACTAATGAGCTTTGCAAGACCAAAATCTGAGACTTTGGAAACATAGTTCTCATCCAAGAGAATGTTTTCTGGTTTTATGTCACAATGGACTATGCAATCACGACACTCCTCATGTAGGTATGTGATGCCTCTTGCAGTTCCCAGGGCAATGTTGTATCGATGCTCCCAACTCAACAATTTTTCAGAATGATGTTCTGTTAGGAGTATAAGATCATCAAGAGACCCGTTTTTCATAAACTCATAAACCAAAAGCCGGTGGCGCCCTTCTGAGCAAAATCCAATAAGCCTCACCAAATTGAGATGATGAGTGCTACTAATAGTGGCAACTTCCATCCTAAACTGCTTCTCACCTTGCTCAATGCCCTCAAGTTGCTTCACAGCAACAACAGTTTTGTTAACAAGAGTTCCTCTATACACAGAACCAAATCCCCCAGCTCCAAGCTTCTCCTTGAACCCCTTTGTAGCTTGTTGCAGCTCCTTGTACGAAAACTGCACTGGCGCACCAGAAGCATACTCAAGAAGCGCATAATGAGTAGACAACCCTCCAAACCTCGCACTGTTCCTACAACACCACACCCACAAACCACCTTCCAAGGCAATCAAACCCAAAATTGTACCCAAAACAACAACCACCACAACCCAAGCAGGCACCCTGGACCTCTTTTCCCTCACAGTCTCCCCCAAAGAGGGCGGTGGATTCGGTGCCAACGGTGGACAAACCTTGATATAAGAAGTGCTAGGCAGTGAAGGACTATAATAACCACTAACAAAATCTTCTGATTTCATCACACATTGCCCCGATCCATCCGACAAGGAGGTAGAAGCGTAACAGGCTCCAGTACCCGAAAGACAATTCCCTCTACACGCTGAAATTCCTATGAAAAAAGACAGCGACGCAGGGTCATTAGGGTAAGTCAAGATCACAGCATGATCCAATGTCAACATAGTTGCATTCCCTTGACAACTACTGAGACTCACCTTCCTCCTGCACCCTTTTCTAGTATGATCGAGAAGGTCGGGCCAGTGGAGGGTCTAGACTCTGCGGAGGTCTTCATGTAGAGGTCGATCACCATTGTGGACCATTGGAAACACAAGTGGTCGAAGCTACAAGGGGAGCTTGAGAGCGCTAGGAGTTGAGTTCAATCGCTGGAGGAGGAGAACCAGGCCTTGGGGGCTGCTCTAAGTGAGGCGGTGAGGAAGAATAAGGCCGAGCTTCAAGCCACGAGGAGAGATCTTTGAAAGACTCAGAAGTCTTTGGAGATTGGTCTCAAGGCTAATGAAGTCTATGCTGCCCAAGTGGGTGATTGTAGGAGGTCGCCAATACTGCTCGAGGCCGGGCGCGCTCTCTGGAGGATGAGATCTCGGCGTTGAGGGCAGAGTTGGCAGAAGCATCCGAGAGGCGTCTCTATGACAAGGTGCTTCTGGCCGGCAAGGAGGAAGAGGCCAGTGCCTTGAAGGCCGACCTTGACACGGTGACAGCGACGAGAACAAGCTTGGAAGAGAAGCTCGTCAAGACCGAAAAGGCTGTCTTGAGGGAGCACAAGAGGTGCTTCGCCAAGGCAACTAAAACCAAATCCCCCAGCTCCAAGCTTCTCCTTGAACCCCTTTGTAGCTTGTTGCAGCTCCTTGTACGAAAACTGCACTGGCGCACCAGAAGCATACTCAAGAAGCGCATAATGAGTAGACAACCCTCCAAACCTCGCACTGTTCCTACAACACCACACCCACAAACCACCTTCCAAGGCAATCAAACCCAAAATTGTACCCAAAACAACAACCACCACAACCCAAGCAGGCACCCTGGACCTCTTTTCCCTCACAGTCTCCCCCAAAGATCCCAAACCAAAACGGCCCGTTCTCAAACCCAGCAGAACGGTCCGTAACCACATCAGAATGGCTCGTTCTGCTTCTACAATTTTGGCCATACTCACTATTCCAGAACGGCCCATTTCAAAATTGAAACGGGCCGTTCTGGGCCACGAATTGGGCCTTTGGCCCACGAGAAATGGGCTGTTACAACTTGAGGAGAGAAAATTATTTTGAAAATTGAAGATCTCACATAGGGTATCTTGGAGTGGTGCTCGGGTAGACCACTATTTATAAAATCCTCATTGAGTAGGTGTGTCTCTTGGAGTAGGTTTTGAGATGTGTTGAGTCTCCTCCAAATCCTTAGTTAGTGGTTGAGTAAGAGAGGAGGTCGAGGGCCACAACCCTTAACCAAGTACCTGGAAAGGTTGCATGGTTCCTTGAGGATAAGTAGTGGGCGAATTCCATATATGACTTGGTAATGCATGCCAAGGTCGTGGTAAGCTTATACCTAACTGTACTACTCCTAATGGTGGAATCGGACTTTCTTAGTGTAAGTGATGAGATCTGAAAGACTAGAGGAGGGATTGGTATCCTATTTTGTTGTGATCGAACTGACTCTACGGGCGTGAAAATGATTGGGTTGGTTTGATAGGATGAAAATCACTTAGACTGCTCATGTTATTAGGAGAATTCCGAGTTGAAATGCATGACGATGCATGTATTGATGAGTTGATATTGTGATGATGAGTTGTATGTGTTGTGAAGGTATTATTGAGATGTGTGTTGTTTACGTGTTGTGTGTTGTATGTTGAACTAGTTGATGATGATAGTGATGTTAAGTTGCCAGTGTTGTAAGTTGCTCTCCAATATATATAGTTTATTTTTACAAGCTTACCCTTGCATGTTTCCATGTGGTTTGGACTGCGATAATCATACGATGTATGAGAGCAAGGTAGATATGTTGAGAGATAGTTGCTAGAGGCCACTGGAGGTATCTATAGTGGATATTTTGTTTTGTAGGCTACCTTAAAGTAGCATATTTTTTTGTATATATTTGGATTTTTTGGTTGCTTGCTTAACAACTTGTGTTATAATAATCTTATTATACTATTTTAGTATATATTATAGTAGTGTGTTGTGTTATTTCGCAGTATGCTGGTCACGACGGGTTGTTGCAATAATTTATTTTAAAATATTAATATTTAATTCATAAATAATTATAATAAAAAAAATCAAATTAGATAAGAAATTAAAAAAAATTTACAAACCTTCTCATTAAAAAAAAAAACTTTAAAATTTTTTTTCGTGCAAGATAACAATTTGTGTTTAATATAAAGTTTGAAGAGGATGATTACACTTTTTTTTATTTATAAAAATATGGTTGGTTTCATTAAAAGTATTAACTCTATTAATAATTTAAACTAATTTTTCAAATTCATATTTAAAATGTTATATACACAATCAATTTTCACCTATTTAATTAATTTTTGAAAAAAAAAATTTATATATTTATTTATTTTGTATCATCCTAATACTACAAAGACAAAATTTTTATCTAATTAATTCAAGCATCTATTATCTTTTATTATAAAGAATTATCAATTAAATAAAAATATTTTTTAAAAAATATAATTAATACAAGTGATAATTAAAAAAAAAAGTCTAATAAAGAGAGACAAAGATAAAAGTGAAAAAAAAAGTATATATAGAGAAAAAATTGTATTTAATATAGAAAAGAGGTCAGAACTGAAAGAAGTCAAAACTGAAAGGTGTACTTTTGGCAGTGCTAGAGCGCTCTATTTATAGGCATCAGGAGTGGTTGGAACGACCCGTTTCAAATCCAGAACGGCCCGTTCTGGACTCTTCGTCATGTGTAAAATTTTACATTCAGAACGACCCGTTCTAAAACCAGAATGGCCCGTTCTGGGGTTACATTTTAACCCATAACGACCATATTTAGAACGGCTCGTTCCCAACTAGGGTTATAGGCATTTTTGGTAGTTTGGAACGCCCCGTTCCCATCTGAAATTTGTAGGCAATTTTAGTATTTTGGAACAGCCCATTCTAATTTGTGAACGGGCCGTTCTAGGCTACTAAATCACCCTCGTTTTAGTAGTTTAGAACGGCCGGTTCCAATTTGGGAACAACCCGTTCTAGGCTACTAAATTACCCCTATTGGGTTTTGGGCACTCGTACAATCTGTGAAAATCGGGCTGTTACAGACAGTAGGACAAAGAAGAATACACGTAATGTCTAAAAATAGGAAGTAACATTTAATGGAAGACCAAATGCATTAAATGAAAGGATCAAAGCCATGAACAAATATATCTGCTTCAACGGACACTTGCAACGGGAAGCTCCGCGCCAATGGATATATTCAAAATCAAGCAACGGGCAGATTTGCACTAGACCATATATATATATATCACTACTTCAAACCTTAATAGGTTGGCTTTTGATTAGAAGAAAAAGAGTGATATCAAGCACACAAGACAGAGACCAGAGATAAGCGTTCTTAGTCATTAGTACAATGTAATATTGTATTTGTATCTCTATAGACTAAGGTGTTTTATATGTCAATTGTGGACAAACCTTAGTGAGTTTTATAAACCTATGTATCCTCTCTATGAGAGTAATCCAAACACTCAAACACAAGTCTCTGTGAGACTACGGTAACAAGCCTTAGCGAGTGTAGAAAGTTCCCAATCCTCTCTGTGAGAGTAACCCAAACACTCAAACCTGAATTATAAATCTATCATGTGTAAAGCTTGAAGAGGCTAGGAAAAGAATACTTGTAAAGCCCGGAGGGGCTTGTCAAAGAATACTCACTGCTAGCCAGAAGTGGCTGATAAGAAAATACTAGCGTTGGGGAGTGAAGCCGACGGGCCCGGAGGGGTCGAGAATACTTGGAGAACCAGAAGAGGTTTAAGAATATTAGCGTTGGTTAGTGAAGCTGACGGGCTAGGAGTGATCGAGTATACTTAGGACCAGGAGTAGTCGAGAATACTCAAGTCCAAGAGTGGACGATAATACTCAATGTTCTTCATTTCATATCTAGTGGAACCCTTCAGTTGAAGGGGACTGGACATGGCTCAGATGAGCGAACCAGTATAAAATGATTGCATTCTTTTATTTATTTAGACGCAAATTTTCCTCATTGATTAAACTTTTGTTAAAGACTTTGTCCAATATTTATATATCTTTAAAACAAATTTTAGACGAAGACGCTAATTTTGCTTGACAAACTTATTACACTAAAAGTTTCATTTGTTGCTTATCCTTAAACGAGACTATCTTGAAAAGGAAAATTCAAGAACCTCAATCATTATTGTTATATGAAACATTTTCCTTCTGTAGATGATAAATCCCTCAGACGCAGTAACCCTGTATTAAGTAAAATTTGCATAACCGTCTGATTTTCAAAAAGGCACTGGATGAAGAACATTACTCTTGCAAAAACGTTTTCAAAATACCTTCGTACACACACACATATTCAATCCCCCTTATGTGTTTTTCATGTCTAACTACGAAAAGTTTATCAACAACTGATTTATATAACAAGAACAACTAAATCATATAACAAGTATATATATTATGTCATGTATATCTAGGTATTGTAAGTATACTAATCCTAGGTATTTGCATTTATATTTTCTGTTGCTAGTAATTTAGCCGTTAAGTGTAATGATCTAGCAGATCATTATAGATTGTATAATGGAAAACATAAATATTATTCTATAAAAAAATAAGAAAAATTATTACATTTCTTAGTTGTATAAAATAACTTTAAATGACTATCATAAAAAAATAGAGATAATGTTTATTACTAAAATACAATAAACACATTTTTTTGTCTAACACTTAGATTTTCATGTGATACTTCTAGCAGACATTTTTAGAAGCCAAAAATATACACCTTTTCATAAATCTCAAATTTATTATAATACATTTTTTTTAAAAAATAACACATGGAAACTACAAGTTATATAGTTGATACCTAATAAGATAAACAAATAGAAATATGAGGATGATAAATAATACAATTTAATAAAAAAAAGTGAAATTGAGAAAAATGATTCTGGGAAATTTATTGTTGGTTTGACTAGTATTGTGGTTGGTCCTTAAATCTTAAAGCC